GGGGGGGGGGGGGGGGTTCGGTCAAACTCACACACTGATAGCAGCACACAGCAGCTACTCTGAACACAGCAGAGGACAGAGATGAACAGTGGAAACATAGAAGCACATACAAATGAATGTTTGTATCATGCAGACACTAAAGCATGCCTTGCCTTTGCAGAAACATACACTATCGCACACTTAGTGTTTGTCCCCTACTGCATTTGACAAATACATCAAATACTTGACTGGGAATTTCCCATCTATGCAGTATATATCTGTGTAGTGTGTTATCAGAAGTCATTTACATGATGCATTGTGGAGCCAGCCCTTTCCCAATGGAGCGGTCAAAGCCCATTCGTTTTGCAAGCTTTTCTACCAGCCATGTATACCTGGTCCAATTATATTGTCAGGGAATGTGTAGGCCTTAATTATATGAGATGTTGAGGTGAGCCAGAAAAATGCTTGGTTAAAACTTGAATGACAGGAGGGGCTTTAAATCCTTGGTTTTCCCAGTAGGAAGTTAAATTGTGAGAGCAAGGTGTGCCCTAGCTGTTAGATGTGTTAAACATTGCTGTAAGGAGCTGTAACATCCCTGCAGGGGTCTATTACCCATGTTCTCTATTAGTGCTGATGGTGCTCCTGCTGCAGCGGCCATCCACGGCTGAATGAATACTTGGGAAACACAATGGGATCCATTGGCCTCCGTTAACCCTATAACAAACCCACTGCAGTGTATATTATTGTTCTAGTGAAGGTTAACCTTGGTTTTATACACTTGTATTGGTTGTAACATGTGGCAACACTAAGTCAAATAAAGAGCTATGCAACAAAATGAAGAATGCCCTCATAGAATAAATAGACTGCAGCTATAAGGATTTGTATTCACACACAAATGCCTCGTCTATTAGCCTTTGTTTTGTTGTAAAAAAAACATCAAATTGACTCATTATGTATACCTGCAATACCTGTTTCCTCAGTGTGCTGCAAACATGTTTTAAGGATCTGCTGTCACAATGTATGTATGAGGAATGTATTAAAGTGTTCACATGTCACAACCTTTGATGTGCAAAGTTGTGCTCTCTGTTTCCATAACACCGAGAGCATTACAGATGTTCCCAAGGCTCGGAATTCCTCATAAATCCTCTATTGGGCACATGTGCCCACTACAGTGTCAGATAGCAGCAGCTGTGAGAGCTGTTTCACAGTCCTACTAACATCGTAAAACTGTTTCTATTCACAATGTCTCTTAGCGGTATTAGGCCTGAGGGCATGGTTAAGCCAGAATGTGGTTGAGTGTATTATCAGTATTAAGCCTAGAGCATTGGCTGAGCCTGTATGTGGTAAGATTGTATTAGCAGGGTTTGTCCTGACTTTCAGAATGGCATTACACCAACATAAACTTCTTAAATGTTCCTTTTAACGTACCATAGCCTCAGAACTTTAAGAGCTTTACTTTACTTTACAACATGCCTAGTTTAGATAGCTTTACACCTCTCCCACTATGTCATTGTCTCTGTATTTAAAAATGCATCCGCCAAGATCGGAGAGCAGAACATGGCATTTGCCGTTTTAAGAATTGTGATTGTGTTCTTGACAAGGCTTTTGACATAGTATTTACTGTAATAAATTGATTCCTTATCAGAAAATAAGGAGCAGAGGGAAAGTACACAGAGAATGACTTGAGATCACAAAAGTTAATGAGTATGTGCCGGATGCTAACGTAGCAATCAAAAAGTTATGGGAGGTCCAAAGACTCATTGCAAGAATGACATGTCATGCTCAATGAAGGGCACACAACAATATCAGACTTTTTGACTTCCAATTACTTAAAAATAACTTTATTAAATGAGATGAAACTTAAGAATTTCTTTGCAGTTATTCCCTCTCCCTGTACAGCACAATGGTTTTCATGCAGTGGTGTAGAGGGGCCATACATTCAATACAGTACAAAATACTAGGAGGATGATGACATAACAAATCAGGTTCAGGTTATTTATTTCTACCCGTAGGTAGAATTTGTTTACAGATAAAAAACAAGCGATCCATTATGACACACATTCGTAAAATATTTATAGATCTGTAAATGCGCCCCCTTGTCCATTACATTTAAAAACCACTAGTAAAAACATGAGCAATCCACAAAGTTAATAAATAAATAAATAAATACATAGGCATTGGCACTGCTACAACTTGTTAATTTGCGCAATGGCTGCTGGAATAAAGCACATTTTTTTTACCACTTTGTTCTACACTTTGGGACTAACCTCCGGCCCGAAGGAAGAACCCATTAAGCCATTAAGTTGATTGGTAGTATGAATAGCTGAATTTGTCCATTCCATTCCATTTTTTGGGAATACAAAAAAAAAGTTCTGAGCATACCAGCTCAATTAGGATGCTACCATGACTGTTGACCTTAAAGAGTTTTTGCGCATTTTCCTGTCAAAACAATTCTAATTTTAAAATATGTAATGCTGGTGGAGCAGCTGTTGATCAAATGATCTGCACTAAAGCTATCTTGTATGGTGGTATTGAAATGAAGTATAAGAGCAACTACTAGTAAGTTACAACACGTGTGTTAATTATTATTTTCCCATATAACGATCAGAAAGCACAGTGCAAAGTATAATGAAATGGGAGGAAAGCTCCAAAGTGCCACTTAGCCTAGCAATTAGCACGCCACTCCCCCTGCTAACAGTATGTGACTTAATGCCTGTTACAGCTGAACACAAACCATCTGTTTGACAGATCCAGCACGCGTTCGGCTGAAATCTCCTATGAAACAGCTCATTACCATTCCTTTCGCTACTGGCTACGTTTTTGCCTTGGCACTTTTTAAAGAAAGGTCTAGCCAAGCTCAATACGCCAACAAATGTCCTCTAATTCAGTGCTTGACTAAAGATACTCAGTGGTACTACATCCCCGAAGAAATATAAGAGGGTTAGGAAGAAACGAAGCAGGGGTGTGCAGGAATTATTCCATGGAAATAGAGGTGGAGGGAGTGCAAGCAAGAAAAGGAGAGAGTCAGAAGAGCGAGGGAGGAGGGGTGGCAGATGGTGACATGTTGATTTATGAGCTGCAGGGCTTTTCATTAACCATACTGAGTTTTACAGAAACAGAGAGAGGAGGAGAAAAATGATAGAGAGAATAAAAGAGAGAAACAGAAAGAAAGAGGTGGACAGCCAAATGCAACATTTGGGGAAACTGACGGGTAGAACTGGAGGGATACAGAGAGGGAGGGATAGGGAAGGGAAATTAAGTTTGGGGGAGTATTGCCACACATATCATGATCATCTTTTTGAATGCTTAAATTCCCAGTGTGCTTCACCATGTCTGTCTATCTTTGTCATGTATGAACATGATGTAGCTCCTGCTTTGGCTTCATGTCGCGGTATCTCCTCTGACTGGCAGTACTTGCAGAGATAGAGCAGTACATCTCCTTAGCCTTTTTTCTGTGGCATCCCTGCCACCTGCAGACCTGTCACCACCAATCTTTGGAAATGCCCCAGGCTGCCAAATATAAGCACGAGCCGTTCGCATTTATATCCCAGCTGTGAGATAGTATTATGAGGTGCTTGAGAGTGCTAATTCTCCCCTTCAAACTGCAGTCAGAAATAGACTTCACTTCCTAAACTACGTCTTCTCTAATGTCCACATTCAAGCATTCAGAGACTAGAAAGCAACAAAGTAGACTCCAGCATAAACGAAAGAATCTCAGTACCAAATACTGACCACCTGTAAACTGGAAAAGTGGCTCTTAGTATTCCTTAATATGAATCTATCTATTCTCTTTTGCTCTATAATCCACTAATCTGCTCTCTATGCTGAGTAGAACACATCACCCCAGTACTCAGGTCTCTGCACTGGCTACCAGTAGCTTACAGAATCGATTTCAAAATTATATTGTTAACTTATAAAGCATTAAATGGTTTGGGACCCCAATATATGTCTGCCCTGTTACGAGCCCCCCAGAGCTCTGAGATCATCGGGGGCGGGCTTACTCATTGTTTCCCGGCTCAGAACCAAACACGCCGAAGCTGCTTTTAGTTTTTATGCTCCCCACAAATGGAATAAACTTCCAGAAACTCTGAGGTCTTCACCAACGCTGAGTTCTTTTAAGTCGAGGCTAAAAACACTACTTTTTACAGCTGCTTACCCAGAAGCCTTCTAACTTGTTTTAGCACTTACCGTATTTACGATGTTGTTTTTAAACTATTTTATATCTCATCAATGCATTGTTTTAATGAAACTGTTATTCCATTATGTTTATTTATTGTGTTCCTCTCTGTTCTATTATCATGTGTTAATAATCATGTAAAGCACTTTGAATTGCCTCTGCGTCTGAAATGTGTATAAACGATACAATAAACATACCTTACCTTACCTACTTGGTAATTGGTAAGTAAATGTGCTATAGAAATATTCACATTTCTAAGTTGTTATGTTCTGGCAGCCATTGCTCCAACCTTCATACTGTATGTAGCGCTCATTTGAAATAAATGATTGGCGGCTTTGGATTGTGGCCACTGTGAGCGCACAGTTATAGCTTGACGATCATATTTCAAATGAAAAGAAGCTAAATTGTTAGGAGACCAAAAAGAAAGACTGAGTCTAGCTTCATTATTTTCATAATTCTTGCAAGAAGGAAAAACAGAGAAATAAAGAGGATGCAAGCTAGTCCTGCAATATTAATCCAGTCCAATAACACATCTTATTTTCCTGTCTTCACTTTCTTGCTATTTTCCCCTCTAATATGTATTTTCAAACCAAGTCACACACAACCAGGCAGTGATTTGCTGTTTTTAACTCAATGCTCGGTAAACAGCAGAGAACATGCATGCTAAGACTTGTAAACTAGGAAACAAAATGTATATCTTGTGAGGTATTTCATGTGTTAAATTACATCAACCATAGAAGACACATTTTAAATATTTATCATAGCTGCAAATCAAAAATCAAAAAATGTTGTATTAAAGTGATACTTGAATCTATTGCTTGACCCAGGTGCTAGACCAGGATTGAAACTCCAAATCCAAATTAGGTTTGTACAACAGTTTCATAACAACCCTTTTTATCGTTGCAACCAGCATTTCAAGTGAGTTTACCAATTGAATTACCCACAAACATTCTGTTCAATCTTCCCGGAATTGTTACATAAACATGTTGACGGTTTACCATAAAAAAGGAAAGCTTCATCTCTCCTTCAGGCTGAATCAGAACCCTTTACAACTCATTTGTGACCTCAGAATCATTCATTTCACATTTTAGGCTCTATCATGTGGTGCTTTAAAAGTCCCCAGCTGATGCAAAGCTAAGCAAAGTGGCTATTTCCTGGGGCACACTGAGGTTTTTTTTGCCTCGCTTGCGTTGTTCGGTTTTTGGATGAATCACAGTGTGTTGCAGAGTTGAGGCACAGGAAATACAGCAGAGCCCTGCAATTTCAGTTTCAGAACTGACCACATTTTATGGCACCCTTTTTCCAGAAAGGGTCAGCAAATCACTGCCCCCCTCATTTTATGATAACTGAAATGTGAACACCTGCACCTACATAAACATCCTCTAGAAACACGTTCAAATTCATGTTCTGTGTTCCTGTGCTTTGATTGACAGGTGTATGATGGGGAGAACACGACATCCCGTCTACTTGGAAACTTTACACATGATGGCATAATGGGTCTTGTCATCAATAGCACGTCCAATCGCTTGTGGCTGGAGTTCAACAGCAACGCCTCTGGGACCAATCAGGGCTTCCGCCTCACATACACAAGTGAGTGGTTCGAGAAAGATGAACTCAAGTCAACTGATTAAAAACTCGACAGCGATACAGTTTGTTTTTCCATTATATTTACTCATACAGCCACACATGTGTACGTGTAGGCCAAAGAAAAAGAAATCCTCTCTTTCGTTCTCTCACAAACACATTTTGCTCATGAACGCAACAGAACACAAACAATAATTTCTTAAATGTTCTCATCATCGCAGTCCTTGTAAGGAGATGTTTTTAATTGAAAACTAGAGTGCTAGTGATTGTGTTAGATTGCACTCATTAATATATCCTGCATCTGTCCTGTGCTTCAGCCAAGTGATTCTTGAGTGCTACATACTAGAACAAAATAGGAGTCATGTACTACAAAACTCTAGAGACTTGTCTTTCTCCGTCAGCAAATTACCAAGCCATGTCTTTCCCTTCTGACAGCTGAGAGAGATCAACAATTACTTTTACAAGCAATTCTGCTGGAGGTGGAGCCAAAGTGCAACAGTAGTTTACCAGCAGGCACAAATATAATTGAGCATACACTATGAATATAAATGCTCTCTCTTTTTCTCTCTCTCTCTCTCACCTACACTCACACATTTTATGAGCTTTAAAGAGAGTCTGTTAAGAAGGCAGGCCCAGCTGTTGTGTAAGTCAAGGAGGCTATTAGAGAAGCATTTATCTGCAAGTCATTAAAAAGAAGGTGAGGAAGTGACACAGCTGAAGTGGAAGAACCGCTGGACGGAGGGACACGCACATGAAGGTAGATGGTATATGGATACTAGATGGATGCTCTGTACGTCAGTTAAGACCATTATACAGCCGTTAGTCTGCAAGTCGTCAAACTGGAGAAGGTGACACCTACTACAACGGATGAGTGGATAGATGGATAAGAGAGATTGATAAAGGGTTTATTCAGAAGAAAAGGCAGAGAAGCATCTGATCAAGAGAGATGGCGATGGTTTCTTAATTAGTGTCAGGGATTTGAGTAAATCTGCTTTAATACTAAACAGTGTTAGAGGCTATTCTAACGGAGTAATAAGAGTTCAAACATCTGTTCAACACATTACCAAGAAAGGTTGTCAGAAATGAGATGCATCTGTTTCCCTGAAATTGATGCAGGATAGGCACGGCTCACTAAACAAGATAGCTCACTTAAAAAGTTGCTGGCTTTGTAAACAAACGTTATTACCAAGCTTTATAGAGGAGTTAACTGATTGGACATTGAGTGCGGTCAGATTTGATTTCCAGAAATAACAGATAATATGTATTGTTTTTAACATAATCACATCACTCTACAGTCAAGATGATTGGTGGAGGTTTTATTGAATCAAATATTCAGCAGCATCTCTATATTAATGTCCAAGGCTGCTGCTACAGTGTGCTGTGTAAATGACAGGTTATTCAAATCTTAGATATAGGTTTAATTGTATTATATTTTTTACTAAGTTGTCATGTCAGAGGTTGGCTTCTATACTATAAGCAGAGCCAAACGTGTTGAAACAGCAGTTTAAGCTAGTGACTGATTCACTGTTCATTCTCCATTACATAGCAACTCAGACGTTCATAAGAGGCTGATGTAAGGGAAAGACAATACGTGCACATTTTTGTGTCTTTGTTTATTCAAACGAAACTTTTCTCTTCTTTGTTATCTTCAAAACATCCAGACGTCCCTCGCAGTGTGCTCGTTCAAGTGAACAGTATATTTGTGGTTGTGTGGGATGGGAAATTATCTTTTGATGTTTTCCCACAGTTCCATATAGAAACCACATTTTCAATCCAGAAATATAATCGCTTTGCTGCTCGCTACACATCATTATATCTCTCAGAAGGGGGAGAAGCTCTTCCCTTTTCATAGACACAAGCATAGGAGTAGAATATCACAGCTGTCAAATCAGGTTTCAGCATTAGCAGTGGGTGTTAAAACTTTACATTTCTGCAGAGGTGGTGGGATTCAGGAGGAAAACACTGACCTTATGTCCAAAACGGCTCTGAATCACCCTGTTTATTAATGCAATGTTAGCTTACTGCATTCACAGAAAGACCTCATTTGTATGCCTGTGCGTGTGCTTCTCTCTATTTATGTTTGCTTGTCTCTTTCTAGGTTTTGACCTAGTACGCTGCGAGGAACCAGGTGTGCCTAGTTATGGCTATAAGACTCAAGACGACGGCCATTATGCCAACACTTTTGTCCTGTACTCCTGCAACCCTGGATACAGTCTCTATGGCACCGGGACACTGACCTGCCTGAGCGGAGACAGACGGGCCTGGGACAAACCACTTCCTTCCTGTAACGGTTAGTATGCCACCACATGTGTAGGTTCTACATACATCAATAATTCAAAACCACAAGGTCTGAATTATTAAACATCTATTCATTGAGAAACATAGCATGGGGAAAAATCACGTTTTCTTTTACTAAGCTCCTGCAAAAGCATGATGATTCAAAAGAGGGAGTGAGCGAACAAGTGATTGAGTCCATTTGGCTGAATGCTTGAGAAGAGGGCATAGGAACTGATTCAACACTCTGTGGGAAATATTCATGGTGGCACTGAGTAAAAACATTTCTTGCTGATCCATCAACCTGCGCACACATAACTATCTGAGCGTGGACAGCAGGATGTCACTGGGCATGAGATTTTAGTGGACCAGGCCTCTCTGTACTTTAAGGATGGCATACTTAAAGTGCAAAAATAGGGGATGACTGAGTTGAACTGTGATAAATGTATAATGTAAGCAAGGCTACTTTCTTGTCTCCTGAAGGCACTCACAGTATTTTATGCCAACGCTTTTGACAGAAGCCTTAGATTTCACTTCTATTCTGAGTATGCACATAAATAGAATATTCAATCTGGAGAGATTTATTTTCAGATGGCAGTAAATGATGTGATGTAAAAACTTATTGATTCATCTGAAATTGTTGACTAGATCTTTCTGGTGCTGGACTGGAGTAGAAGTGCAGCCATATGGACTTTAGTATTGAAACCCAACATTTAATGAATGCATCTTATTTAAATGGCAAACTAATTCTAATACAGTACTTAATTTCTCCTGGCAGTAATTCCACCAGGAGATATTCAAATTGTGTCGTATAAGATATTTTACTTTTATACAAAATCAACTGTGATGGGAAGAAGAGACAAATGATAATTGAGAAAGATTTGTATTGATCTTGAACAGGGTTATGATGAAAAGTACCCGTAAGCATCCCTTAATAGTCAGCCATCTACAGTACGTGTCTTCCGCTCTGCACTCCAAAAATATCAGGTGTAATTTTTCAGACCTTGAAAATGCCAAAAAGTAAAAGTTTGTTTTCTAGCATTCCTAGAATATGTTAGAATATTTAATAGGTTTTAAGGTAGATAAGCTGCTTCAGGGCAGTGTTAGCTTTAGTTGGCACTTGGCAGCTGTTAATTAAGCTGGAGAGGAGTGTGCCAAACGATTCAGGTGCTGTGACATGCTGTTTTTCCCTTTTTGCTTATGAACCTGTAACATTATTTTTGTCTTTTAGCCACAGCTTGTACAGCTGGCCATTATGATTCCTTATTTTCATTCACTAACCACCAGTGAAGCATGAACTTGACATTTGTTTGTTTGTATTGTTCCATAGCTTTAAAGTCCCTTAAGCAGATTCACAATTTTTGAAGTCCATAATTCCTACTTGTCCATAAATATTTTGTGGTTTTGCACATTTGACAAATGAAAGCACTTTCCCTAAGTAGTTTTACCTTGCTGAGTAGATGCAGGAACTTGGCACATGTTCATTTGTAATTCCCTCCTGCTACCCACAAAGCCGTGTGTCTCTCTAACCTGCCAGCACACCTGAACTCTCTGAGGTGGGACAGGGCCTGATGTGGTTGCTAATGGCAACTAAGAAGAAAGTGTGTGCACTATGTGGGGTGAATGCATTCATGTGGGTGTGAATGAGTGTGTGTTTGGTTGGATGTGTGTAAGTGTGTGTGTATCCCTGCAGTCAGTCATTAATTGGTAGCTGCTCTGTCGCTGCCTTATTTCAGGTGAGCCAGCAACCAGGAGAGTACTCTGGTGGAGCCCTGGGCTAACTTCCTCTAAAGCTACCTTTGTATCTTCCTCCTTTGTCTGTCTGCTGGGGCGTTCATCGTTCTGTCTCCCCCCCTGTCTGTCTGGCTTGCTTCTACATCTGCACGTTCTAGCATGGAGATGAGGAGATGGTTTTGCCTCCGGCTGTTTCTATACTGTCTTTCTCTCGCTGTCTCTCCCACGTTGAGTCAAACAGAGTTGTGGTCTCCCTCTTACTCTTTCTGACGTTTTCCTATTCATGCAGTAAACCTGTCTATCTTTTTCTGCAATTGTGGGTGCCTGTTATTCTCTCTTTGCTTTTCTTTGCTGGGAAATTCCAGTTGTGTTTGGTCTCAGGCTTACTATAACTGTTTTTTTGTGCCTCATATCCTCTCTACCTGCATTTCAAGATAAAACATAGTGAAGTAGTTACTTTCCTGCTATGTTTGTATTTTTATGTGTCTGGTAATGTGCTTTCAAGTATATTTCCGGCCATGTATTTGATTGTTATTTGCTATTTCCTTTGTGTTTGTGTTTACATATGAATGTGTTTTTGTGAGCATGCTGCCGAAGATAATACAATAGCAACGGGTTGTCATATTATTGTAGATTGCAGAGCTGAGTTAATGGTGCCCTCTTAAGTCACACAAACACACCATGCACTCACTGATATGAAGCATTCCCTATACAAAACAGTTTTCTAATCTGCAGCGATCTGGTTGCTCAGTGGGCTGCCATGTACTTCCATGATGAGTTCAAATCTGCTCCCAGCCTTTTTCCCCTGCTTCCTGCTATCTCTCCTGTTACTCGCCAGTGAAGACAATACAAAAATAGCATTAAAAGACAGTCTTCTCTGGTGCAATAAACTGTATCTTTTCTTGAACTTGAACACTATTGGGAGTTCCTTAGAGGGAAAACAGCCATTCAAGTTATTCACAACACATACAACTGTATAGCAGGAACTTGGATAATTCAAGGTTGATTTAGTGATTCAAGGCCTTTTTTAATGGATTTTCATTTAACTCAACCTTCACATCCCAGGATTATTTACAGCAAAGTAATCACCTCTTATAGAGATATGGAGATGAGCTAAAACTGTAGAAGGGCTGGAGAGAAGACAAGAAGAAATACCATACAGGGACTCAAAAATAGACCCAGTGCTGAACACAGTCGACCCAAACAGACCCTAAAGAACAGAGACAACAGTTATTAAACATGATATGCGATAGAAGGAAGGTTCATGTTCCCTAAGCAAAAACAAGTATGATACAGAAAACCCTCCTGTACAGATCCGTGGTCAGCTGGAACTCATCTTTTCAAACTTTTGCAGAAAGAAGTTCTGCATTTTATTTTGGAAAATTATATTGTTAGTTTTGTGTTTGGCTTAAGGATGGGTGAAAGCATGACGAGAATGTTTTTTCCACACTTCATTATTAATTACATAAGATAAAGTCCCATCCATTATCTGTGAATCTAATCCAAACTATAATTTGCATTTCATGGCATCCTTTTTTTTTTCTCACACAGAGAGAGAGACCATCCAAAAGAGCAAGAATTATAATAAACCTTGTACAAATCGGGTTATCTATTTTTCAGATCCACCCTGGACTACAAGTGAATTTGCCGAACTTAATTAGTTGAGATATTTTCTTTATAAGGTCACCTTATGAAAAGTTGATTCAGGGACTCACGGTCTCCAATACAGTTCAAATGTCTTTTTCATTCAATAAAGTGGATTTTATAACCGAGTTGTTGCTGCAAGTCTCCAACACTACTTTCATCAGTTTTTTTATTCGTAGTAACCCTGCAGCAATCCTTGAAAAGATGGGTTTATTCCTCCTTTGTTAAATGCTTTGATGCTCCTGCTGTCTCTGATATGTCCAGGTAAATGTGTGAAGTATCGTTATAGCAGCAGTTTTGTTGTTTTAGTAATGATTTGATCGATACATTTCAAAGGACATAAATCAAAAGAGGTGAAAACCTATGAAATGTGGTGTCCTTGTGATGTTCACCCTTTTGTCTCGTGATTCTAGCGGAGTGTGGAGGTCACCTGACTGGAGCAGTTTCTGGACGGATACTTTCTCCAGGATATCCTGCTCCATACGACAACAACCTCCACTGCACCTGGACCATAGAGGCTGACATGGGCAAGACTATCAGGTAATCGTGAAGCACTTTAGAATGATGATGACCTGCAGATTTAAATGAAAGGAAAATAGAAATAAGACAACAGCTATTCCAACACGTATATGCTGAATTGCTTTGCTCTGGCCAAGTTGAGGTAAGCTTACTAGTCAACTCTCTTAACAAGGACTTTACACTTTGACACTTACAGGACTGTCAGGTAATGATATATTCACTAATTATAGATAAATGCTCACTGTCAGAGCCACTGCTGTGTAGGAGAGTACACCACATTAGTCATTATGCCATCACTGTGTTTCTCAACACAGTGTGGCCCCTGCTGTGTGATGCGTCTATCTTCAACCTCTGCTTCATCATTTTTTGATGGTTGACTTGATTTGGGTAAAGCTGCTGAATGAAGAACAGATGTTAATGTTTGCATTTGATCTCTGATCTCTTGTGGAATGTGTGTGTTTTCCTCAGCCTCCACTTCATTGTCTTTGACACGGAGGTCGGCCACGATATCCTGAGGGTTTGGGATGGTCCATCTGGGCCGTCAGACGGGGGGATCCTGTTGAAAGAATGGTCCGGCCCAGCCTTACCTGAAGATATCCACTCGACTTTCAACGTACTCACACTGCAGTTTGATACTGATTATTTCATCAGCAAGCAAGGATTTTCTATCCAGTTTTCTAGTAAGTAAACTTATCGTCAAACGTAAAAAATGCACAATTATTTTACTGATTTGGATGATCTCTCTTTCCCTCTACACCCATCATCCATTTATGATGAAAAAGCTTTTTTGGAGTTAGAAATTAATATAGCTAGTTAATAAACTCATCACACTAATAGTTTCTTAATTATGATATAAACCTCATTTATATTAGCTGTAGGACAATTAATGTGGAATTAACGCTGCATTTAACAGGATTTCTGAAAAAGGCAAAGAATCAAATGAGAATGAAATGTAATATCTCACCCTCTGGGGCCGAGGCTCATAAAGTGAAGAGCCCCCCCCTAGCAGGGTTGGTATATAATAATTAAGGATATTGATACATTTGAGTAATAATAATATAATAACATGTGCAGTGTGTTAATTTTATAGGCTAATAAAAAAAGTCGTTTACATTCATTTTGAGGGTTTGAACTTACAAAAGTAACAACTATGAATCTCAGTATAAGTGTTTTCATCATATCATTTCAAGAAGGGCAAACTGGACATTAACTTTTCCCCTTGGTTCCACTCGTGGCCTTCGCTGCTGAGCCACGGGACCCAAACATGTGTGCACAGTCCTTTTTAGAGTCATTGGCCAAAGTCAATGCCATCCACTGTAGCAGCGAAATCAATCAGAGGCATACACTCATACAGACTTTAAAAAGCACTTATTCACACGCATGCATGCACGCACACACACACACACACACACACACACACACACACACACACACACACACACACACACACGTACGTTCATGTGCTTGTATATATTCTCTATAGAATTTATTTACAGCACAACAATTGCACACCTCCACTTGCTCTGTTGTTTGTATAAATCCACATGCAAAGCAGCACACACACACTCTAACACACACATTAACTTGTTTTAATGAGATGCATACATCCAGTCAAAAAATATTTAGATCCAATGCTCTCTGTCCCTCACTCTTTTTCTCCATCTCTCCCTCACATTAGTTTTTTCGCCTTGCTCCCCTTATTTAAAACAATAAATATTTGCACTCACAAACATGCTAATCACAGCAGTGTTATTCCATTACTATGGTAATGACTCCTTATATTTACCCCAATGTTGATTTACTAAAGCAAAGATAATGTTCTTTGCCACCACACAGGATTATTTAAAGCAAGGCTTTGTGAATTTATTGAGTGGGTTTTTTTTGGGGGGGGGTTATTGTAATTACTCATTTATTTAGGTTTTTCTCTAATTTGATCCTACTTTTTACACTTTCTGTGTTCCTGATGGTACAAAAAGCTGTTATTTACTAAAAGAATATTATAAATGTGATTTTTTATTCGATGTTATGCTGTCCTCAAGCTATTGTAATATAAATGCAAAAGATAACATATATTTAGTCAGGATTGTAAATCAGAAGGCCGGCTTCCACAACAATGTTGGCCAGAACTCTAGCTAATATTTGAGATGAAACTTTCTTTGAATCCGAAGCTTCATGAGATAAAATGATGAGTCTACTGTTTAATGAGGATTCAAGCAGTGCCTTGTATGTCCACTGTCTGAAACATAACATAAAAACTAAAAGAAACGTAACTCTAAGGGAAATGTACATGCCTGAAGAAAAAGACGCATTATAGTATTCCAGTTGTTCACAGGAAGACCAACATATGAAACCTAAAAAAAAAAGGACATCTCATTTTCATAAACTATGGTCACTTTAACTGAAGCTAAACCTTTCTATCTTCCACAGGCAAAATACGATAAGAATATCATTGATAGGACTGATCGTGTCCTCCAACCAACAGTAGGTCAATAACTGTCTCACCTTGTCCGTCTCACTTTCTCCAGCCACTACAGCAACAACGTGCAATGACCCCGGCATCCCTGTGAATGGTTCTCGATACGGCGACAGCAAGGAGCCTGGAGACAGTACGACCTTCCAGTGTGACCCAGGATACCAGCTGCAAGGCTCCGACACCATCACATGTGTACGGGTGGATAACAGATTCTACTGGCAACCTGACCCCCCAATGTGTATCGGTAGGTGTACATTTATCTGTAGATGACTGACTGCCAAACTGAGATTACATTAAATTAAAAAATGATACCGTGACATTAATGAGTTGGAGACTTCAATGCCACACTGCACATTAAAAAAGGGAGACTAAATATGGATATTAAGATTTTAGATAACGTCCATTTGAAGCTCCAATGAATACATCAAACAATGAAACACCAAGTGCAGAGCCTTCAGGAAGAGGAATGATCCAAAGGTGTGTCTTAAATCTCAAGTGTAGACTCTAGAGAGCAGACAACAAACAGCTCTCTGTGTTGTTCTGCCACATCTGATACACCTCTCTGAAGGCACATCAACCCAGGCTTGCTGGTGAGAGGATCTCCAATCCCAAATGATGCTGCTGTCAGAGCCATTCAGTCTGGATGCTTGGTCTTTAAGATCAGAACAAGTGCTGAAAGAACTAAGGTTTGGATAAGTATTCAGCAGTGTCGCTGTGGACCACACACAAATTCAGAAGAGGAGAGGTAGGGTTGGAGAAAAAACGGAATGACGCAGGAATCTGTCAAAGGGTTGCTGTTTTAAAGCTTTGAAAAACAACAATGCTTTTTTTCTCTATCATCACAACCATCTGGCCCACCTGCTGCTTATAACCCAGAGAGCTTCCGCATCCCACTCCACACCTCGTTCACACAATTGCGCTGCAGTTCTTCTTTTTTTCTCTCCCACTTTTGGGTGTCTTTCCTTTATCGGCTCCTTCTGACACACTTGACTCTCTTCTCTTAAAGAAGGAAGGAGGGGAAGACTGCCTTTCTTGAGAAGGTACAGGAATAGCCGAGTCAGTGCAAGTAAAAGATGATATCTGTAATGCAGCAAGAGCCCTTCAGTGTCCTCACCGTACAAGATAGAATTCCCATTTTAGTGCAAAAGAAGCCTGTAGCACATTCCTGACCACACTTTCCAGCCGGTAGTTTGATGCTGCTAAACTACACGCCCAGTTATTTCATGTGCAATTAGAATCGATAGAATGAAACCCTCTTTAATGGTCACAATGTGAAATGTGTTCTCTGCATTTAACCCATCCTGGTACCAGGAGTCCAGTACTAGGAGCAGTGGGCAGCTATTGTACAGCGCCCGGGAAGCAATGTCCGGTGCCTTGCTCAAGTGCACCACGGCAGGGCAGGAGGTGAACTGGGACCTCTCCAAGTAGCAGTCCACACTCCATATTTTAGGTCTGGTCGGGGACTTGAACCGGCGACCCTAAGGCTCACAGTCCATGCCCCTACCGACTGAGCCACTGCCGGACCAATTACCTTGAACATGAAATATCTAGTGTCGAGTCGGTCTTAGATGGATGAGGAAAATCACCAGAGATAACCATAAAGGTGTGGGGCTGCGTGTTTTTATTGTTACCATGCAGGATTAGGTATAAAATAAGACACAGCTGAAATATTGAATTTAACAACATTAGCGAGTTGGGGAATATTCCTGCAACATCTATCACCGTGGTGACCCTGGAGCTCCCTTTATGTTCCTTCCCCTCTCTTTATCAGCCAGCCGTGTTGTGAAGTCCTGAAGCACGCTCACAGAGACTTGCCTTATAACCATGCCTGTGAAACGCATTATGCTTTGTTCCTGATATTGCCTCTGACTCTTTGCCAGTGACCTCACGTTTTGCGCGACTGTATCTCTTAGCTTAGCCTGCATGTGCTTCTCTCTCCTGCACGCTCACCTCGGGAGGTGATTCCCTGGGTGTTCAAACGCTCCTCAGATTAAACCAAGAGCGTGAATGTGTGTGTCTGTGAGTGATTTGCAACTATTAATGCCTTTGTTTACCTCTATTTCAGGGTTGATAATCCGTTCACACCCACCTGCCACCCCCAAGACACCTCTCCATGTTTCAAATCCTTTCCTCACATCACCAAATTGCTGCTTGAATGCATCTCTCTGTCTCTCTTGCCAATATCTCTTTCCTGCTTTCTGGCTTGTTGCGGGATAACAGGACCGCTAGGGGTGATTCTCTCTGCTAACTACCCCCAGCCTCACACTTTGTCTAAATCTCACAGTCTCTCCCTCTATCTCCTTTTTGCTCTTTCAACCTCTTCAGCTACCTGTGGCGGTTTTATCAACGGCCCACCTGGGAGTCATTTTGTCTCTTCTAACCAACCTCTGCCATACTTCCCATCGCTAACTAACTCTCTTCCACTATGCCGACCTGTGGGGGAAATATGTGTGGTCAACCAGGAGTGATTCTTTTTTAAATTACCCCAAGGCCAATGCTGCGTAATCATCTTTCTTCTTCTCTTTCCCTTTCTACCTTCTTCTCTCTGTCTCTCTCTTACTATTTGTCTCCAGCGACCTGTGGGGGTAACGTCAGCGGCCCCTCAGGAGTAATTCTGTCTCCTAACTACCCCCAGCCTTACCCCGCAGGGAAAGAGTGTGATTGGAGAGTCAGGGTCAACCCAGACTTTGTCATTGCCCTCATCTTCAAAAGGTAAGCCGGCAAAATGTAAACCTTGGCTCTGTATCTAGTATGCACTATGTACCTTCCTGATATGTGTTCCTAAGCTTTACACCAGGTCTGTGCTCATAGAGCAATATATTTAGAGTTCAGACTTTCCTCTCTTGTATTTGATATTTAAAAAGCTGTCCATGTTTTTGTGGACTTAGATGCATCAGGCGGGCAACAATGAGAAGTGTCTAAATATTAATCAAATAAACTGATTGCTTTATGACAAACCAGTGTTCATTAAACATTTGTTTGGTGTTGAAGAAGGATTGCTAACAGATCACAAATAATATTACAATAAAAGTAGACAGATAAGAGGGCAACATCATTGTGTGTGTTCCTGCATGTTGAGGCTGCAACAAACACAACAGGGCAGATCACTGATCTCACTCATTAAAGACATTTCTAATTAGTCGACCCAAATACCTGAGGAAGCATAACACATTTTGAACTTAAAGATTTAAAGGTTGAACAGGGTCCCATTAGATTTGTTTTTTAAATGTGTTTTTTCTACTGGCTTAAATTAAAAAAAGTATTACCCTCCATGGACTTTGTTTTATGAGTTTACTTGGTGAGAGTAGTGTCATGCCTCACTGCCCCTTATGCAGCGTCCACACGGCGGCGTGCGTTGAAGCTTGCCGGTGGGCGTGTCTGAAACTCGACAACCAATCACATGAATCTCCCGCCCCGGACACACAAGCACGTGGTTTGATTGGCTAGAGCTTGTACTGGCATATGATTTGATTGGCTGACGCTTCCGTCGAAGCTTCAAAAGTTGAACATTGCTCCACTTTTGCGAGCGAAGCGACGGAACCACAATGCAGTTCGGCAAAGCGCGACATCACCCCATTCAAAGTGAATGGGCAGAAGCGTTGAAGCTTCAACGCACGCCGCCGTGTGGACGGGCCGTTACAGTGTGAAGGAGGTCTGTGCTGTATCGTCAGGGATCAGGTCCAGTTCACTCTAATGTAAACTAACACTCAGTAAAGGATCATTAAGGTAACTAATAAACCCATTTGGGTCAGGAAAGCTTATTCCGTCTGAAAAACTACATTCAAATCCACTGACATAACTATTGTAACTTAATGTTTGGTTTGTGGTGAGATGGTCTTATCTAGATTCAGGAAGTTGAAATGTATGATGTATTTCCTATGCATCGTTGAAGACAGGATTCATAATATGAGAAAATAGAATTGCATGAACTTTTTACATGTTGGCAGATAAACTTTGTTGATTTGGAGAGTGATATTCGGGAGGAAAGAGAAAGGGATTTCTCAGTGTTTCTGTGTTTTTGTTTTTTGGTAATAGGGCAGTGTTTATTTACATTTCCCGTCCTGATTGTGCCTCAGTGGTGAATATTTTTACAAGTCACAGTGGTTAGGGGCTTGTGACTAAGGCGAAAAAATGAAGATTGGAGTTTCACATGTAGCAAAGGAGATAAAAGCAAAGCGGACTAACTCCAGATAGCCAAAGGAGAACAAATGACCCAATTTTTGCTTCATGTTTTTCAGCTGGAAAGATAATTCCCTTCTTTACTAACAGTTAGACAGTTTTTATTTTACTTTTAATTAAGTTGTCTTGAATGTGATTGTTTTTTGAAAGCTGTGTGCGTTTTCTTTTTTCATTGTATGTCCAATTCGAACCTAGTAATTTTGTTTTTATAAACACAGCTGAACTACAATTTGCCCCAATTTGTGATGATTCATTCCTTTGTTCAGTTTTTGAATCAAATCACTGTTACTTAAATATCGTGAGGATCAAGTGTGTGGTGTCACATTACGATAATGTTAGTGTCCACATAAAACTGACCTTTCTTTTATAGTAGTGCTTAAAGGTTAGCAGCCAAAATCATTAATTAGTAAAACATGTACTAAGTTTTCAGCATTGCTCTTAATTTGAATTGAAGTCTTAACAGACACATGCGGTCATGAGAGGTTATGTTGTTGTCCCATTTTTTGCTCTGTGAGATCTTTATGTTCTTGACATTTATTGGCTTTAGAATTCAGACAAGGATGTATCACTAATGCAAAAGGTATTAGCACGGATCATTTTAATGCTTTGTCAGTGGCAAAAGGGCTTATGTGCAGTTAAGCCCATTCTGTACCAGATAGATACACAGGGCTTAAACACGAGCATTCTTTATACTTATTTGAACTTTGGTATTCTTTTGAATATCATAAATTATTGATTGTCTTTTTGTGTCTGGCCTCTATGGTATTCTTTTTTACTTCTCCGCAAAACGTACGTGTTTCATTTCCTAACCTTGATTTGAAATGTTCCTTGCATGCCTGCTTTATTATGTCAGTGCTTCTGACATAAAAAGGTTTCCTTTTGTACATGATTATAACAATATACAAGTGCTTCACAATAGCAACATTTGAAATACAAAGACAAATAAATTAACGTGAAAACTGAGAATAAAACACAGAGATCAAAACCAACTTAGAGTTCCCTAAACATAAATAAATAACTGAAAATCAATTCTAAAATAGTAGGGTTTGAAAGTGATGTAAACGATCCGACAAAGTTTACAGCCGTGATCACCTCAGGCAGGTCATTTTCAGAGTATAGTGTAGAGTATGAATCTGAACCTAAAAACAACAAAGAGGGACGCATCAGACGACCTCAGGGTGCGACAAAGGACATAGGGCAATAAAAGGTCCGATACATTACATGGGGCAAGGCCTCTCAGGGCTTTGTAAGTAATCCATATTATCTTCAAATCAAACCTAAAAGCCAGTGTAAGATAGCTAGGATGGATGAAATGTGGAAATGTTTCATCAACCCCTTCTCTTATCTACCTTTGCTCTGACACACACACACACACACACACACACACACACACACACACACACACACACACACACACACACACACACACACACACACACACACACACAGTTAAGTCCCTTGACTTCCACAACACTAAGAAGGTGTAGTTTTACCAGACAGGTAGTAGTCCGAGCTCACACACACTCAAGAAACCATAGAGGGAGGTTTATAAATATATATATATTTGTTAGTCTGTACACTGACAGACACATTTTGGACAGATACAAGACTGTGCTAACGCAACATACACTAAGACCTTGTGTGTGTTTTTGTTGTTGGACTTTTACCCTTACGAGGACTACATGTCTTCACCTATGTATGGAGAGAAGAGGAAAAGCTGTCGAAGTGAAAACCAGAATTTTTTTTACCAAGAAATATGCTTTAGGAGCTCCTGTAGGGTTGGGCTGCAGGTTAAATATAATATGTTGTGCCAAACAAACACATGCATATACCGTACATAATGAGGATATAAATCAAAATAGATCTTTACAAACACTTTCAGAGTGAGACAACAGTTTCTCCAATATAATATCCAGATGATGCAGCACGATGGCTTTGCAGCAGCATACACACCATTGTTATGTTTGTTAAATATCTATGAAGTTCAATTATTGTTGACAATATTTTGCCGTATTAAATTATTCAAGAGAAAACCAACAATACATATTTAAAGTTTACATTTTTAATCCACTTAATAAAAAATCCAGTAAACATGTCAAAATGAAGGTGAGTTAGCAGACCATTAGAAGAGTGATAGCACACACTAATATGCAGTCATTAGATGAATTATACAGCCATCTGAATACAACATACATCATTTGATTATTGGTTTAGAGAATTTGAAAAAAGAGCACAAACAAACTATGCAGACACTCTTGCTGGATTCTTAACCCCACGTTTCTTTTTGTTTTCTACCCCAGTTTCAACATGGAGCCAAGTTACGACTTCCTGCACATCTACGAGGGTGAAGACTCTAATGGGCCGTTACTAGCAAGTCTCCAAGGCAACCAAGCCCCAGAGCGAATAGAGAGCAGCAGTAACATTCTCTTCCTGGCGTTCAGATCGGACGCCTCACTGGGCATGTCTGGGTTCGCCATCGAATTCAGAGGTAATTACACCCCAAAAACTGTGCTTTTAATACAAAGTCCTTGTTTATCTTTCCTGCTGAAATTGTTCTTAGGAAATGTTTCAAAGTCTAATTTACAGACGATTGTTAGTTGTGGTAGTACACGCATGGGCGTCATTTCCACTGGGGACAGGGGGGACATGTCCCCCCCACTTTTCAAAATCCCGTTTGTGTCCCCCCCACTTTTCAATTTATTTATTTTTTTACGCAAGTGGTCATCGTCACGGAGGAGCGTCTGTGTGTGTGTGTGGCAGGAGCGCATTTTGTGTTAGAGAGAGAGAGAGACAGAGAGAGACAGAGAGAGACAAGGAGAGACAGGGAGAGACAGGGAGAGAGAGAGACAGAGAGAGACAGAGAGAGACAGGGAGAGACAGACAGAGAGAGAGAGAGTTACGGGGGTTGTCGTTAGCATCTGGTGCTAGCTCGGAGATTAGATTATAAAGCTGTTTCAACAATAAGGAGAGGGAGAGTCCTCTCCTGTCGGACTGAGATAACAGCTCAGGGAGGTAAAGGACTCGCTGAGTAATTATATTGTAAACTTTAGTCTAAGTTATCTCAGTGGGTCTCAAACGGTTTGGTCTAAACAAATATTTCCATCTATTTAATATAGTTGTTAAAAATNAGACGGACTAGAAGCTTCTGGAAAGGACAAAACACCAAATGTGTACCAGGCATGGGCGTAATTTCCACTGGGGACAGGGGGGACATGTCCCCCCCACTTTTCAAAATCCCGTTTGTGTCCCCCCCACTTTTCAAATGTGTTTTTGTGGTCATCGTCACGGAGGAGCGTGTGTGTGGCAGGAGCGCATTTTGTGTGTGAGAGAGAGATAGAGAGAGACAGAGAGAGAGAGAGTTACGGGGGTTGTTGTTAGCATCTGGTGCTAGCTCGGAGCTAACGGAGATTAGAAGCTGTTTCAACAATAAGGAGAGGGAGAGTCCTCTCCTGTCGGACTGAGAGGCTGAGATTACGTCAGCTCAGGGAGGTAAAGGACTCGCTGAGTGATTGTAAACTTTAGTTATCTCAGTGGGTCTCAAACGGTTTGGTCTAAACAAATATTTCCATCTATTTAATATAGTTGTTAAAAATAAGTTAGAAAGTAATTCCAATGTCAGTAAAAAATTTAAAACACAGTTTGAAAGGGAAGTGATTAGTAAAATATGCATAAATAAAAAGAAAGAATGCAGACTAGGTAAGATAAAGATAGGAGAGAGGAGTATATGAATGATTTCTTATTGGTTGTTAGCATATTCTAATGGTTTTTGGAGTATTGAAATATATACAGTTCTGTTTCATATGAGTGTTGAGAGCTGTATCCATAAATCTCTTAATTTGTGCACCAGATTGATGCCTTTAACTTCAATTTAAAGAAACAAATCTTACCGGGGGTGCATGCCCCCGGACCCCCCTATAGGATGTGAGGTCATCACAAATAAAACAGGTTCATGGATAGATAAGTTTGCACACTCATTATACACACTACACATTTTTCTTGGATTAGTTAACACCATAGTCCCTAATATATATTTGTAGAAAAGCAGGAAATGGAATTAAATCGAGAACAATGTTTCATTCGTTTTGTGTCCCCCCCACTTCTCAAACCAAAGTTACACCCTTGAGTACACGTATAGCAAGAAGTAGAACGATGAGTAACAGTTAAAGTAGTACTGATCATAGTGGTAGTAGAACTTTAAGTGCAGTATTATTAGAAACGGAAGTAGTTTAGCAGTATTAGGGAAGCTGCATTAGTAAAAGACCAGTTCATGTAGTCATAGTAATAATCTGTGACTTTTTTCGTCGCAGCAAAAGTAATAAATTGGCACTCGATTCTGGGCCTGATTAAGTTCAAAGCTACAAAAATAGGCCAGTAATTAGCTGTGATTATTATATTTGATGGATTGCAGGAGGAATCAGTGCTGCATTACATTACAGCTTTAATATTGTATAGGGCAGACTATGATTTTGTATAGGGCAGATAGAGCCCAAACATGTGCTGAATGTGTCGACAGATACATCTGGCTAGAGTCTCAGTTTGATTGTGATTGATGCAGGAGTCTGCAATTAATTATAAGCTTTTTTAAAACAAAAAATAGATTATTAGAAAAATTTGATAATTAATAATGAACACAAGATCTGATAACTGTAATTTAAACTTAAATAGGTTAAAGGTTGTTGCTTCCCATTTATCAAACTTACATTATCTTACTTCACCATCATTGAACTGTTATATCACCGCAGACTGCAACTGAACTTGGCTTTTGAGTAAATGTTATGGCATTTAAGTGAGTTGCTGCATTTCTGCATCTATATATACATCCCACTGCTGAACTGCCGATGGGTTGTACTTCACTTGCAGAGTGTGTCGTAGAGGGCAGTCCTAGGTTCAGATCAGGAGCTGACTGTGTAATGAGCTCCTGTCTGAGTAAATTAGTCAACACACACACACACACACACACACACACACACACACACACAGATTGCCGACGCAAAGTCAAGGTGAAATGCTCTCACTCTACATTTGAATCCTAAACCTGCCCCTGTATTTGATAAATATTTGGATTGATGTTGAGTACAACACATTTGATACAGGAGTGTTCTGTTGATTGGATTATATCTTACTCAAGTCATTTCTCCCTTTCTGTTTATTAGAAGAGTTTTCCAGCTGAAACGGCTGCTGTTCCATGTCAGCCCATGGCTTTCTTACTTTCACAGATTGTGACTCATACTGGTTTTACAGATGTTGCTTGACTGGGGGTGATTTAACAGCCACAGACAGTGCAGAGCTGATGATTAGTTGTTTGACTGACTAGAGACTAGATCTGCTCTGTCAAATGTTATGCAGCATTTTTCCTCGTGTTTCTCTCACTCCATGTATCTCTAATTAAAAAAAGATTATCTCCTTCTCTGTTGTCTGTCTCCTCACGCTGCCTCACACCTCTGTACTTTTGTCATTAATTCACTACCTTTCTTCTGCCATCTCTCTAATTAAAATACAAACTTAATCGTCTCCCTGTTTCACTTCCATCTCGCCCTCCATCTCTCTCTCTGTCTGGCGGTTTTCCTCTGTCAGGCCCAATATCTCACTGTTATTGGGCGATCACAGTAAAGCAAACAAGCTGGCCCAGTGCCACGTCATAAATAGCCAAGACAGTTTTGAGTTATCTTGACTGCACAATTACCCTTATTTGTTCCTTCCTCTCCCAAGGGGGAGATGATATAAAAGCAAATATTCTATATGATCTATATTAGTCTACAAATAGCAGCCTGTCAAGTCCCTCCAATAGTTTTGACCCCTGATGGAAGCTGAAAATGTCCTTTTATTGAGCTGCATAAACATTTTAGACACAATTTAGAGTTAATAACTAACTCAAATGCATGTCTGTTTATATGTGTGCACTTGGCAAGTGTGCTCTAGAGATCAATGGGTCATATTTATTAGTAATGTGTTATGTAGGGTACACAATTTGAGTGTAGAAAGAGGGGACCCCTATTAACTGTTACACCGCTGAATGGCATTCTGGGAACAGTTTGCTGTCTTTTGATTCTTGTGATGTATTGCACCCAAATGATAGGTGAACTCCAGCATTTCTAGATGTGACCCTTTCACGGCAGGTGTATTGCTTAGAACCCAAGGAAGTGTTTAGTGTGACGTTGTGTCTGGATTAGTGTTTCTCAAGAAATCTGCAAACAGAAATACTGAAGCATATTTTGAACAGGAAATGCACTCGTTTATTCAAATTGTAACGAAAAAGCATTCGTTTGCCATCAATTCTACCATGTGGATAGAAACTCTGCATGTTACTGAGCCCTTTGCCTCACCGCATGGGAAACTGATACATTGCCAGGTGCTGATAAGAGATCTCATGAATTTACAGATACAAACATTATGAAAAAATCCAAACATTAGTACCGTAGTTTAGTGATATTCAAAATAGTTGGTCCTTGTCCTTTTTCGATAACACTAACTTTTACTCCCCATTCTCCACAGAAAAACCAAGAGAGGCCTGTTTTGACCCTGGTAACATTATGAACGGCAGTCGGACCGGATATGACTATAAACTGGGATCTCAGGTCTCCTACAACTGTCACCATGGCTACACAACAATGGGCGGGGAAAGCATCACCTGTGTCATGGGGAATGATGGGAAGCCTGTATGGGACAGGGCACTGCCAACATGTAAAGGTAGGAGAGACATACAATAACTGCAGCTTTACAAACACCATTATGATGAAAATGTCATGGGGGAAAATATCGCTTATGATAAATTATTTATTTTTTAAAAAACAATCTGCGTGCACAAACACTCAATGGCCAGCTTTCACGGTTCAATAGGACAATCTCATAAATACCAATATAACTGTTGTGCCACTTTTAAGATGCTTATATTTTGAAGTACTTGCTATGATGTGAGGTTGGGCCAAGAACGTGTGTGTGTGTGTGTGTGTGTGTGTGTGTGTGTGTGTGTGTGTGTGTGTGTGTGTGTGTGTGTGTGTGTGTGTGTGTGTGTGTGTGTGTGTGTGTGTGTGTGTGTGTGTGAGAACTTCAGAGACAGACTGAGAGTCTGTCAGGGATTGGAGGGCTGACCTGTCTAATTGATTGACAGCTCAGAGAGCCAAGGAAGTGACACCTGCCAAACTGCCATTCAAGTGTGTGTGTGTGTGTGTGTGTGTGTGTGTGTGTTTGTCTCGCAGTGACATACCTGGCCTGGTGCCAAAGGTAAATATTCAAATAAGCCACAGAGCGAGGTGGCAGGACAAGTACAGCATTTTAAATGAGCACAAACACATATATGCACACGCACACACACACACACGCACACACACACACACACACACACACACACACACACATATATACATATTACACATACAAACACACACACAGGACAGATTTACAGTACTTATACTTCAAAGACTTAAAAAAGCTCATATGAAGCTGTGTTTAATAATCTCTGTGGGAAAATATCAACTGGGATTACTGTATAGGTTTTTGTAGAGCATAAGGATGAGATTATTGTCTAAAGAGTAGCTATTTGAGCAAAGCAACCAAGAAACAATGTCATTTAATGTTATGTTCACTTTCTTTCAGTTTATTTCAAGATGGTACTGCCACTTATCAACTTTTATATGTGTTACTAAGCTATATAACATCTTTGTCCAGCTGTGGTCTTGAACACAAGAATTAGATACATTATTTTTACAGGAAGTTCAATTCCTACATTTTTCTTTTACACTTAGATTTCATGAACTTAAAGTAATATGGCAGTTTTTCAATTCAACCAACTATCAAGCTGGCCATCAGATAGTTGCTAATTCAGCTCATAATTTAACTACACAAACATTACCAGAACTTATTGGTGGCAACATAAATAACTTGTATTCCTTAGCACATAAAGTGGAGCTGAAATTGATTCGGTGTTATATTTAGATGCCTTTATCCACAATAATGTATTTGTGAACAGAAGCCAAGTATTGATATTTCATACACATTTGAAGGCTATAAATGGAACAACTCGAAACTTCAGCTAGAATTAATTAATGTTCTTTTACTGGAATTGATTTTGACATAATGATAGTATAAGGTGTGTTTCTGTCAGCTTGTTACTGTTGTTAAAATGTATACTCTGCAGATTTTAAGTGTTGGTTCACAGATCATTACGCTGGAAGAATGACCTAATAACACTTTGTTTGTCATATCTGAGAACAGAGACAGAGTATCATATTGGCAACTATACCAACACAAGACTTAACAAATATCTATTATATTATTGTACATTTATATAGTACAGAAACCATTGTTGTATCCACATATTTCTTTGAGACTGTGTTTTAGAAGCTCTTGACTGACCCTGTATTCTTCAATGGAGTTGTTTGTCGTTTTCTCACAGTGAAACAGACTTGGATCTGGTTCCTGGTCGAGGCCCTTGCTTTGTCCTAGATTCATAGATGGATCTGCAGAGATCACACTCTACACTTAAGGACAGTCACATAATCAAAGCAGAACAATTTAACTAAATCCAGTCCTACACAGTCATCTTGCTCTCTGCTCATATTGCACATTGGATTTTCTCACCACATAGTTAGAAGTGTGTCTGTCCGTCTGCCTGTCTCTCTCTCTGTCTTTGGGCAGCTCCTGGGGCTTTTAGACCAAACTCATTAGATGGGGTGAGACCTCTTTAAATAATACATCCCCACTTACACTTCCTCTGTCTCCTCTCTTCTCCTCTTTTGACGCCCTCACACTTTCCTCTTTCACCTTCTTCCGTTTCCTTTTCTCTGTGACTATTTTTCACTTCCTGTTATTTTATCCTCTCTCTCCCTTATTCTAGCCTGCTCTTACGTCCTCTGACTCTGTCTGATTTACTCTCTCTCTGTTTTCTCTCTCTCACACACACACACACACACACGCACGCACAAACACACATCCCATCTTAAACCGCTCTTTTATTGGTTTCCATGGTAACTAAGAGCTGGTGCGAGTAAGAAGGAATTCTCCGTGACTGTTGATGGTGTGGGTGTGTGTGTGAGAGAGAGAGAGAGAGAGAGAGAGAGACAGAGGTACAGAGCGAGAGAGAGAGGCAGCTATTACAGAGTGCCGCCTAGAGGCAGTATTCACACACAAACGCACACTAACCCCAAAGTGTAGAATACCACTCACGGTTAATAATGCAAACACACTTGAATGGTCAAAGTTTAAAAATGTACTTTATGTTTGAATATTAGAAAGACAGGAACTGGAGACAATTTAGTTTGTGCTGTATACATTATCACATAGATTGTTGTTGGCATATGATACTGTACATGAACAAGTTTGGTCAATTGTGGCCCCATTTAGAGGATTTAGATACAATACATGGATATCTTTTTCCAGGCTTTGCCTAGAACGTCAACCCTGTTACTGTGTTTTCTGTTCATGAAAGTTAATATTAACATTTTGGTCACCTACAAAATGCCTTGTCCATTGGTTGTACTCAGCTCCACTCTCTCCTGTCGGTTCAGGTTTGAAAAGAACAAGATGGCAAAGCTGAAAAACTGTTGTCCCCAAACCAATGAGTGACATCACGCTGGCTACGTCCACTTATTTTATAAAGAAAAAGGCTTCTTTCAGATATTTCAAACATTCTTATACTTTCTTTCCTTGCTAATGAAAGTAAATTGACTATTGGGTGTTCTTAGTGTTTGCTTCAGAGTTTGTATTCTGTACATTGTTGTGATGAATCTAATCTCTGTAAGTCACTATAACTGTTCTGTTTATTGTGCTGGAAAAGACTCCAGAAGAATTGCAACTCTTCTTAAGTGTGTGTGTGTGTGTGTGTGTGTGTGTGTGTGTGTGTGTGTGTGTGTGTGTGTGTGTGTGTGTGTGTGTGTGTGTGTGTGTGGACAGGGACAATGAGACACAGACTGTGAGAGGTAGGACTACAAAAGTGTGAGTTTTTGTGGATGATCAAAGCGCAGGAATGTGTGAGAGAAAGAGAGTGACTTGCATGGCATTTCTTTGCATTTCTTTGTGTGTGTGTGTCAGAGGGTGTGAGTGATCAAAGCTCATATGTGTGAAGGCTTTTGATAAGGCTGATACCAGAGCCTAGAGCAGCACTAGTGGGGGAATGTGAAAGATCAAGACAAGACCTCTAGACCTGAGGGTGTGAATGCTGCAACACAACAAGAATCAATCCTAAAAAATATCAATCGATACCATTGCTCGGGAACAGAAAGAGAGGAAAGAAAGAAGGTGATTAGTTTGATGCTTTAGGAAACAAGAAGAAGTAGAAAGAGTTGGAGTGGGAAAGCGGCGGAGGAGTTGGTTGGAGTACAACACATCTCTAGCAAAGGAGTAGATACCAAACCAAGCTGTATATTTTATTCTAGACATGTAAATCTGTATTACTGAGCCAAGTCTCGGACGAGAGTACAGGCCACGTCTCAGTGTCCACACTCACTGTCTCATAGGCTTTGACATGTGTTCCTGAGAAGTCCACAAGGGCTCAGGCTGTCCCACTGTGAAATCGGAAAGTGCTTCAGGGCTCTCCGGTGGAATTTTGAGCCCTTAATGCACAGTTTCCACTGAAATGCTGGAGGCTTGAGGGAATAACCCTCAAGCGGGTGTTCAAAATCATCCAAAAGAAAAGAGCTGAAGGAACTGGAACATTTTGAACATGCTCAGTGGACCTACAGTATGAACTAAGTATAGTACAAGTTGTTTTAAAAGGGTGATTTTTATCAAACATTGTTAATAACATTAAGGCTTTTATTACTTTTTACAAGACAATACATGTAAAATCAAATCCGTACATGTTAATGGCCACAGGCAGGCCTATAAGACCTAGGCAACATATTAATTTACAGAGTGCTGTCCCTTTTATATACAACACTTTAACCTCCGCCCCCTTGTGCTCTCACATTTTCACCGAGCACAGAGGTGATGGTAATTAAAGTCTGTTAGGGATCACAGCGTGTACGAGGGTGGACATGGCACCGCGCCCCAGCGGTACGCACACTAGCAACTGCAACGAAAAAAAAGTGAAGAGGTGAGAAAAGAGATAAGAGTACAAAATGGGGAGTGTGTGTTTGGGGGATGACGTTGACAGATGTGCTATTTGCTGCTGTTGTCCACACACACACACACACACACACACACACACACACACACACACACACACACACACACACACACACACACACACACACACACACACACACACACACACACACACACACACACTAATTTAAGGATTGTAACTCTCTTGGTGGTGCTGAAGATGGATCAAGCGCGTGTTAAGTTTGGTTTGTAGGTCATGAAATGGTGGTAGGGATTAATAGGCTTTTGCAAATTGCAGTAAGCTGACACAGGAGCTCCCACACTGTGCATGGGCTCAGCATCACATACATTCATTCAGTGTTAAGTGTTTTATCCTGCTGGGTTTTTGTTGAGTGGAAGGAATAAGAATAATGTCACTACGGTTGTCGTTTTCATTCATGTTTTTTTTTTTTTATATATATATTAAAGGTCACCTATCATGCAATATTTAGGCAATAGCATAGGTCTCAGATGTATAACAATGTATAAAAAACATGTCTATCAAGTGTTTTGCTCAAAATACCAAACGGATCACCCATTCTAGCCATACCTCATATCCCTCTATTTCACTTCCTGTTACTAAAGTGCTCATTCAGGGAATAAAGCTTTGAAGCCCCCCCTTATCACCTGAATCTCCTTTTTGTGTTCTTTTCTTTTTAAACAAATATCTCTCAGAGGGGCGTGGGGAGTGGCTCATTATTTTCATCTGAAGTAACAGACAGAGAATCAGCACTTTTGAAACAGGGCTGAAACAGAGAGGATTATGGGATGCTGCAATGCATGATCTGTTCTGTATTTTTAGCCAAACACTTCAGAGACATGTTTTGTATATATCTGAGACCTGTAATATATTGATGAAAAGCAGTATAATAGGGGACCTTTAAGTTACTATCAGCTACTGCTCTATTGTGCCATTTCTAAACCATCCACAATCTGCCATCAATCAATGAAAGGCATCGCTTAAGATATAATATATATTTTCCAATAATTTCTCATAATAAATGACAAGGTTTTCAACTGAAGTCTATTTAAAAACAGCTAGATATTTGGTTCACACGTACACACCCAGACAGATCAAAAACACATTATATAACAAAGCCTTGGAGTCACAAGGGTCCAAGTGATATTTGGGGACACATATCTGCTAAACTAAACATCTTTTGATCCAAACGCATCCCGTTTTTTAACAGAATAACAGATTAGACTAGTGATAGACTCGCCAGCTTTGAGTGCAATGGGCAGTGCTCCCAGGAGAAGGGAAAAAAATAGGAAGAGGCACATGAATAAAATGTGAATGCTTCACTTCAACATCATTTCTCTGAATGCTCAGGGGAACAAAGGGGATGAAACAGTTGGGCAGCCAGAAGTGTTGTTCCTATATTACCATAGTTTTACCGTAACTACAGTACAGGGTAGATCAAAATGATTGTTACTTTATTGTTTAGACATTGTAACCTGCAACATATATTTAATACATCTAAGTCTGTGTGTCTCTCTGTTACTTAAAGTCTTATTACTACAGTATTATGTACTTAAAACAACATTGAAATTATATACTGTGCCTATCATTCAGTAAAGTGTCATCTTACTTACCGAAGGATTTGTTAAATGTATATAGTAGGCATAATTAGGAAATGTCATTGGAGCAGGTGGTGCATGTGTAGTGGTTTTGGTATCATTTGGATACAAATTTCAGCTACCTGAAAATACATTTTTCACAAAGATCTACCAAAACATCAATGACATACTTTGCAAAATTAGGCATTTTCAACAGTTGTGGACCCTTATGTTCCTGAAATGCTGACCTTCATGATTGCAAGGCTGTCGTTCTGTTTGGATGATAAGGTACCGTATGAGACAGGATTTCCTCAATCGTTGCCGTGGATATGACTAACACTATGTCACAACTGAATATTTATGACTTGGTTTTAGTAGATATGAGGAAAATGAAAAGGACGCAATTTAATATTGTATTGGTTTCGACATTAACCTTATGCTGTCCTTTTTTCTGTATTGAGCCATCTCTTAAATAATGCAGCTGCTGCTTCTTAGAATCCCAGGTAACTGCAGCCGAATGCTCATTTGTTATTGTCAAAACAAGTGCAAACACCAAAGTGCATTAGTAACTCAGTGAACATCAGTTCAAGTTGAAATTGAATGACCACGGGGCCATAACTCAGAGTGCCCTTTTTGTTTGGTGTTATTGAATCTTCAGATACTGTGTACATTTTCTGCTCTCTCTTTATTTCTCCAAAGCTCAGTTTTATTTTTTGAAGAGATTCATTGCAGCCCCCCCTGCACGTCTTTATGTTATGTGTATACGATTTATCTGGTGAGATTTCTATAGAAAATATTGTACGCTAATCAAATTCTCTCTCGTCCCATTGCAACATTATTTTAATACATCTGTTCAAAGTTGAACTCTTTAAAGGTAAATCATTTCCCACACCTTGCCCTTTGCAGATCGTGTGCATATTATTAAGAGCACTGATATCATCCTGCCATTTACAAAAACATTCTCTATATACATATACATATGTTACAACCCGGCTGGTGGGCTGTAACATAAAGCAGGGAGGCGAGACGAGAGGTAAGAATAATATAGTTTATTGTTTAAACACAACAAACTAAGTCGAGAAAGTGCCCAGAGGAGTGAGAGCGACGCAACCGGCTGGGCTCCTCCTTTATCCCGCTTCATCAGGTGTAGCTCATCAGGTAGGCATCCGCCCACAGGTGCGGCTCATCAGCACCTGAACCTGCAAACACCCACAACCCACACACACACAAACAGACGGCACCCCACGTGGTGTGGAGGGGTCGTCACATATAGTAAAGAAAAGAGGCTGTCCTTCCTGTGTCTGACGTTGCAAAAGGCTCTTATTGGAACATCAGTACTGTACCAAACACTTACAACTTACCTTAAACACAGCTTTAGTTCAAGAAAAGAAAAATACTGAAATTCCCTTTATCCGTCTTTCTTTAGCTCCATGCGGAGGACAGTACGATGGATCTGAAGGGGTTGTTTTGTCTCCAAACTATCCCCTAAACTACACTACCAGACAGACGTGCTCCTACTACATCACTGTCTCCACACAGTTTGGTAAGTGATCGTACTATACATTCTCCCAATTGTAATTTTATCACCACCATAAAAGCTCATTTATAACTTGTTCGTCTCTTGGCTGTCCATCTTCTTCAGTGGTGTTCGGTCAGTTTGCTGTTTTCCAGACAGCGATGAATGACTCAGTGGAGCTGTTTGATGGAGCCGATGAGAATTCTCGTTTGCTCAGCTCCCTGGCGGGGTCACATTCAGGTGAGTCGCACTCCCATAAACTCACTTATTTTGGGTTGGCATAATTTTTTATTTTTAAAAAGCTGCCACTCATTCGTAATATTTAAAATTGTAATCTTTTTTTGTTTTCTTAAATACACCTTTGAAAGAGAACAATTATGAAATAGTCTGTACGAAAGCGGCTCTTGGGGGCTGTAGAACACATCACCAGTGGTCGTTATCACAATTTATTTGACAGTGATGTATTTGGTGAAAATCCATTATGGGTTATCTTTACAAGAAGAAATCAGCAGTGGAAAGCGCCTCACTGGGGCCTTACACCATGGGTGTTTCTCAATGTCAAGGAAGGATGCTCCAGAGCCACTATTTCAAGGATGCTACATCAACGAGTCCCGCCTGTTCCAATGTCCAGCATACTTGGAATTCTACCGAGCCCTGCGTCCTTCGTAGCGCGAAATTTCGAGGCTGCACATGTGTATCCTCCGCGGTTTTAAAATCCCCACAATGCTTTGCGCGCGGACCAATTTCCAAATCTTTGGTGGAAATCGCGCTCCATTTAAGGCGGGGCTTCACATATGATGCACACCTGTTGGCCTGTTCCACCATTCTTCGTTTTCCTAGGCTAGGAAGGATTCTTGCCTCGCTTCTGAAGGAAGTGACTCGGAAGACCTGTGCTACCAAGGAAGTATCCTCGACATTGAGAAACACCTGAGGAAGTAGTGCTTATACTCCTGAACACAATCCTCCCTGGGTTTCCTTATCCTCCAAGTTCGAGTCATCCCAGCTTTTTAAGTCACTACACAGTAAGACACTCAGAACAGATTCAAAATAATGACAATATTTAAATTAAATGACTGCAACTGCCAAAAAGGTTGGTAGAGTTTGATACAAATCTGAATAGAATTAGAGAAATCACAAACATATGAAGATGGATATGATAGCTGCCTAGAGCCTTTCTCTCCATGTGTGCTCTGAGGTTTACATTTCTGCTTTACTGTGCTCTTTGTCCCCTTATTTAGTAGATCAGAGAGCTTGATTCAATATCATTTTAACTAGAAGGATGTGACAGTTTTTATTTGGCTAAATGTTTCTGCACAATATGCAATTTATTTCTCCAGCTACTATCCATCTAAGTTAGTTCAAAGGGAAGAGGCCTGTTTATGTAATGTATAATGGGTGGCTTATTCTTTAAAGTTAATTTGAGTTGGAAATTCCCCTTTTGGCCAAACTGGCAGCAAAGAATGAAACACACCAGGCTTTACAAAATAATGTGAGCTGCATCATTACCCTATCTCACACACACACACACACACACACACACACACACACACACACACACACACACACACACACACACACACACACACACAGGGGCAAACAGCAGCAAACAGCTTCATAGCACATTGTTCCAGCTTACTGACTGATTATCCTGACACACAAACATATTAACACACATACACGTATACCAAATGTACACATACACACACACATCCCGACTCAGCTAATGACGGTTCTAAATGTCAGCCACGCTAGACCATGTTTTTCTCATTTATCACTGTTACTTTGTGTGTGTGTGTGTGTGTGTGTGTGTGTGTGTGTGTGTGTGTGTGTGTGTGTGTGTGTGTGTGTGTGTGTGTGTGTGTGTGTGTGTGTGTGTGTGTGTGAGAGCCTGTTAGTTGGTTTGTTTGTGTGTGTGTTTGGCATTTTTGTAGGGGCCACATTTTCCACACAGGGAAAATAAGGAAGAAGCTTCTGCCTGAATGCAAAGCAGAACATTTAAATGTATGCTTATGAGTGTCTGTGGGTGTATTGTGTTCATAAAAAAACTGTATATTGTGAAATTCTGGTGATAAATTGTATGCAATGTAAAAAAAGTAAAAGTAGAGCAATTGCTTTGTGTTTTCATGAGATAAAGTCATTTTTGTATTATTATTGACATGCATTTTTGAGATCTTCATTTGTGTGTAATTGTTCCTTCCAGGAGAGACATTGCCATTGGCAACTTCCAATCAGATCATGCTGCGGTTCAATGCGAAGAGTGGCCAGTCTGCTAGAGGCTTTCACTTCGTCTACCAAGGTATTTCTCACTCTGTGTGTCTCTCTATCTCTCTTTCTCTCACTTGCATTCAACAGACACACAACACGTTTCATTTCATTCAAGTTCAACATGTAAGTGTACATAGGGAAATGGACGCATTAACTTTACATTTCTATTTACCCTCTTTCTTCCTCTCAAATTGTTAAATTACCATCCTCATTGCAGCCGTGCCTCGCACCAGTGAAAGTCAGTGCAGTTCGGTGCCAGAGCCTCGGTACGGCAGGCGGATCGGATCAGAGTTCTCCGCCGGCTCTTTGGTTCGCTTTGAGTGCAGTCCAGGGTATCTTCTCAAAGGATCCAGTGCTATCTGGTGTCAGGCCGTGCCAGGTGCCCTGCTCAGTGGAATTCAACAACACCATCCTGTATAGGTGAGGCTAACCAGCACTGAATTGTTTACCCATCATACAGCAGGGGTCGGCAATTATATCTGGCCTCAGGCACATTTCTTTCTCAGCCACTAGATGCCGGGCCGGGCCGGGGGGG